AGAGTCTCACAGTCTTTCCTGCCCAGGCTGGCTTTGAACTGTGATCCTCAGATCTCAGCCTCCTGAGTAGCTAGGATTACAGGCGTGAGCCACCAGTGCCCGGCAAAACTTTTTATCCTTTGAGACTCATTGCTTTAAACCTAGCTTTTCTTTCTTACTCATGGCTTTAAACCTAGCTTTTCTTTTCTTTTCTTTGGGCTATATATATAACTACAGGAGAGATTAACTAAATGTACTTAACCCTCAAGTGGCCTTGTGAGTCCAGGCTGATAGGGTTACTTACTGGCTATGAATTTTTTTTTTGGTTGGTTTTGGGACTTGGACTCTGGGCCTGGTTGCTGTCCCTCAGCTCTTCAGCTCAAAGCTAACGCTCTACCACTTGAGCCACAGCCCACCACTTCCAGTTTTCTAGTGGCTAATTGGAGATAAGAGCTTCATGAACTTTTCTTGTCCGGGTTGGCTTTGAACCATGAGCCTCAGATGTCAGCCTCCTCAGTAGCTAGGATTACAGGTGTGAGCCACCAGTGCCCCGCCTGACTATGAATCGTGAGCAAGTTACTTAACCTTTCTATGTCTCAATCTCTCCATATTATAGATCGTAGTGTGATATACATAAAGTACTCACAAGAGTTCCTGGCATGTACTCCATGTTCCACAATGTAATATAGTTTTATTCCTATAAGCCTTTTAAAAACTAGAGTTGAACTGAGAATACTAAGCTAAAGCTTCCTTGTCCGTTGTTGTTGTTGTTGTTGTTGTTGTTTGCCAGTCCTAGGGTTTGAACTCAAGGCTTAGGCACTGCCCTTGAGCCTCTTTGTGCTCAAGGCTAGCTCTCTACCACTTGGGCTCAACTCCACTTCTGGCTTTTTCTCTGATTTATTAGAGACAAGAGTCTCATGTACTGCACAGTCTGGTGTCAAACTGTGAGCCTCAGATCTCAGCCTTCTGAGGAGCTAGGATTAGCTTGTCCCTTACTTAATTTTATTTATCTATTCATTTATTTATTAATTATGGCACTGGGATTGGTCCTAGGGTCTTCCACATGCCAGGCAAGTAAGTTCTCTACCACTGATTTTGAGATTTTACTGCTTTTGAGATTTTACTTTCTTCTAAGTATAGGAATTTCAGAGCTCAATATCTCTTTCAAAAACATCTATACTGATTCTGAGTGATTTTCTTCCTCATTCCCACTTCCAGGAAGAAAAGGCTAAAGCATACAAGAAAGAGAAGCAGAAGGAGAAGAAAAGGAGAGCGGAGGAGGACTTGACATTTGAGGAGGATGATGAGATGGCAGCTGTGATGGGCTTCTCTGGCTTTGGTTCCACCAAGAAGAGTTACTGAGCCTTTCTGTGACGGGCCTAATTTTGGCCTATGCTGGACCTAACTGTGTGTGTGTATGTTAGGGGGTGGGGTCATTCCTTTTGGATACTGGGGAAAGTCCTTTAGAGTGTTAATGGCAGGACTAGAGGGTGGGTGTTTGTGGTTTCCCTCTACCTTAGGGGAGGGCACAGGATACAGAGGTAATGCTGCTGTGCATTCCTTGTACGTTAGTTTGTCACCGGAGTTACAAGACCTCTTCCCATCTGAGTTCCTGATAAATGAAGACATCTCCATCAGAGGCTGCTCTCCAGAAACTTCCCCTGCATCTTTCCCTCTTCATCTATCCAACCTCTTGTCTGAGCATCCCAGTTTTTTCCTATGTTCTGCCTTTGTTTAAATTTTAACTCTTGTTAGCCTGTAACAGAAGGGATCTGATCAGATCCTCCTTTTGCCATTCTTCTCTATGGTTCTTTGCCACCTGTGCATGCATGTGTACTTCTGCCTGGGTCAGTGGTGTGTGTGGAAATGTGTGCATGAATTTGTCACAAAGAGGGGGCCTGAGCTGGAATCTCAGAGCATTGCTGCCCTGGGGCCTGATGTTCTCGGTTTCCTCAGCGCATGTAACAGGCAATTAAATGGGATGAGTGGTGTGGTTTGTGTCTGGTGAGTTTTTTAACATTGTTCTTTTGATGTGGGCTGTTTCAGCTTTTCCTGTTTGTTTAACTTTACTGAGGATTTTTCTGTTTTGTCTTCCTTGTGAGCAGGCTCTTGGAAGACCTGTTTGATGCAAAGGAAGAAAAAAAAAGAAATGAAACAACAAAACAATACAACCCTCCCCCACACACACCCCAAAAAACCCCCCAAAAAACCAAACAAGCTTGCTATGGGAATCCTTGGGTCTCAGAGGTATACAACATAATAAATGACAGACTGGGCCTGTTTTACATTTGATGGGAACATTCCATATTCTTTCCTGTGTGTGTGTGTGTCCCTCCCACACTGAGAATTTACATACATGCAAATTCTAACATTCCCTCCCCCTTTTTTTGGTGCTGGTACTGGGGCTTGAGCTCCAGGCCTTGCATTCTCGTGGGTTTTTTTGTTTGTTTTGTTTTTGTTTTTTATGGATGTTGCTGTACCACTGAGTCACATCTCCACTTCCAGCTTTTTACTAGAGTAACTAGTGACAAGAGTTTTGGGGATTAGGGGCTGGAGGGGAAGTTCACTTGGTAGAGTACCAGATAGTGAGAGAAAGCAGCCAGGTATCTAGTTTGAGTCCTGGTGTCCAGCCTTAAAAAAGTTGGGGATCTGTCTGCCTGGGCTGGCTTTGAATTATAATTCCTAGATCTCTACCTCTTGAGTGGTTAGAGTTATAGACATGTTCATAGGGCCTAGACAAAACTATTGAGCTTTTTTTGGGGGGGGGGATTCCCAGTGGGGGGCCTGAACTCTGGGCCTGGGCACTGTCCTGTCCCTCAGCTCTTCAGCTCAAGGTTAGTACTCTACCACTTGAGCCACAGCACCATTTCCGGCTTTTTTCTATTATGTGGTGCTGAGGAATGGAACCCAGGGCCTCATGCATTCAATGCAAGCACTCTACCACTGAGCTACCTTCCCAGCCCCAGCTATTGAGCTTTCTATAATTTCAGGCTCCTTTGATCCTGAGCAGCAAAGCTTAGGGTTGAACTGGGTGTTTTGCTTTCTGCAATTTGTGTTTGCAGAAATTTTTTTAATGTTTTTTCTTAATGTTTTGGGTTTTTGAAGTCTTTATTGTAGGCAGGGCTCATTCTATACACTGTAGGATATTTAGCAACTTCCCTGATAATACCTACACAATAGCACCCTTTCCTTCAATTTGTGACAACTAACAATGTTTTCCATAGATGACCACTGCCATCTCTGCTATGTTCTGACTTGATTAGATGGCACAGAGTGACTGTTAAACTCAAGCTGGGTGCTGGTGGCTCATACCTGTAATCCTAGCTACTCAGGAGGCTGAGATCTGAGGATTGCGGTTCAAAGCCAGCCAGGGCAGAAAAGTCGGTGAGACTCTTATTGCCAATAAACCACTCAGAAAACTGAAGGGACAAAGTGCTAGAGTGCTAGCCTTGAGCTGAAGAGCTGAGGGACAGCACCCAGGCCCAGAATTCAAGCCCCACAACTGACCAAGGGGAAAAAAAAAAGCAAAGAAAACACTGCTTTCTCCTGGATGAGAAGGCAGAAGAAAAAGCCCTATATCAACAAGAATAGTAGTAACTTAAACCTCAGATAACTTAGGAAATCCCCTTTGCTGCCTCTGTACTCTTGACTTTACTCAAGATCCATTTGGATTAACAGATGGTCAGTATGTGGGTTTTCTTTCTCTGGCTCATATTCTCTCTGTGGTTTTGTGGTCAGTTGGAGATAGAGTCTCATGGACTTTACTGCTCGGGCTGGCTTTGCACCGTGATCTTCAGATCTCAACGTCCTGAGTAGCTAGGATTATAAGTTTGAGCCATTGGTACTCATACACCTTTCCCTAGCATCTCAAGTTCTGTGGATCTTGCTAAGGAACTTATTTGATCCCCAGCACCAAAGGTAAGGTTGGTGTAGTGGTTCATGCCTGTACTAAGCGCCTGAGAAGCTGAAGCAGGAAAGCCTGAGTTTTAGGCCAGCTTGGGATGTATATTGAGATCATATACTCCTTTATGTGTACGCAGATTACAAGGATGTTTACCATAAGTTTATAATGGTGAGCCATTTGAAACTAGAACATTTGTACTTGAGTAAAGTGCAGTAATTAATATATAGGTGACTCAGACCTATATGTACTGACAGGAAAAGCTTCCTGAGACAGGTAAATAAAATGAATATGCAACATTTCCTGTAAGTCAGAAATTTAACTGTTCTATGTATGGCTACATTAGCAGGTATAAGAAAATGTGAACAAAAATCTAACTTGAAAGGATCTACCTTTCCCTGAGAAATTTAGTAGGAGTTTCTAGGAAAGCTGTTTACAGCACGTGCAAAAAGTAAAGAATAGGTGTTTTTGCGTGTTTGTTAGAAGGCTAGAAATGCGTGTCACGTGGGAGAGGGACTGTGGGTTCCAAGACAAGTCTTGAAATACCTATAAAGCTTCACTTAGCAGGGAATCAGACACTGACAATAAAACAAGTACAGTGACCCCGTGTGGTGGTTGGGAGAGCGCGGAGGTCGCCGGGGTAGGGGCACCCAGAGAGTTGGTGAGTAGCAGAGGATTAGAGGATCTGCCAGAACCCTACAGCGTCGGGCACACCTCCAGAGTCAGGAAGTGGAAGCGGATAGGACAGTTCCTGGTGACTCATGTTACGTCATGACGTAGCTTCCCCTCATAGTCAAGAGAATATAATCAGAATGTGCTTTCCGGGCTGGCTTTAGCTCAGCGGTTACTTCGACGAGCATTCTCCACAATCAACACGCGCAGCTTTCAGCTGTGCAGTTGGTTCGAAACCCGCGGGCGCTCTCCAGCCCTTTTGCTGCGGTCCCGGGCCAGACTATATTTTCCTTCTTAGAAAGTTTTGGGGTCCTTCCTTTGTCTGGAGCTCACAGAAAGCTCTCCTGTCAAAAGTTCAGCTCTCTTAAACCACAGTAAAAGGAACCAACGCTTCTGGGAGAAGCCTGGGATTACAGGACTGGAGAAAGACAGAAACGAACCTGCGACATCGTCTAGTGCCAAAAAAGGGAAATGAGACTTTCTAAATCACCTTTCGTGTCTGCTTTGTATTCCAACAGTTATCTATTGTATGCTTGTAACTTTTGTAATGTCGCTTAACCTGAGGCTCATAGGATTATTATTATTATTGTTATTATTTTGGTCCCATTCTCTTGTTTGGGGACTGTATACAGTTGGTCTCTCCCTCCTCCCTCCCCCTCCTCCTTCTGTCTCCCTCCTCCCACCTCATTTCCCTCCCCTCCCCTTCTCCCTCTCTCCCTTTTTCTGTCTATTCTCTTGCACTGGTACTGGGGCTTGAATGCAGAGCTCCCTGTTCTTACTTGCTTTTCCTGTTCAAGGTTGCAACTCTACAGCGTGAGCCGCTCCTCCCCTCTGGCTTTTTGCTGGTTAGTTGGAGATACGAATCTCATGGAGTTTCTGGCTTTGAATCTTGATCATCAGATCTCAGCTTCCTGAGTAGCTTACAAACCACAAGCACCCAAAACATGTTGAATTTTCTTTGTGCTGTTTATGCCATTTTCTGGCTGATTCTAATTACTGATTTCTTTATCTTATTAGCTATTTGAATCCTCTCTTCAATACTAGTTATTATATTTTAAACATTACCCTTTAGTGTGTGTGTGTGTGTGTGTGTGTGTGTGTGTGTAGTTGAGCCCAGGACCACCTTGCTTTTTGGACAAGTGCTCTACCACATGAGTCACACCCACATGCCCCTTGGGATATCTAATTTAGCTGCCACTTTTTTTCCCCTAAATGATTCTTTTCCTTCAGTTTTGATTGAAAACATTATTAAGAAACAAAACAAGCTGGGCATCAGAGGCTCTCGCCTATAACCCTAGCTACTCAGGAGGCTGAGATCTGCAGTTCAGTCAGCCAGGGCAGGAAAGGCCTAGAGACTTTTTTTTTGGTTGGTCGTGGGGCTTGAACTGTGGGCCTGGGCACTGTCCCTGCGCTCTTCAGCTCAAGGTGAGTGCTCTACCACTTGATCCACAGCACTACTTCTGGTTTTCTAGTGGTTTATTGGAGATAAGAGTCTCACAGACTTTTCTGCCTGGAATGGCTTTGAACCTGATCCTCAGATCTCAGCCTCCTCAGTAGCTAGGATTATAGGCGTGAGCCACCGGCGCCTGGCCCGAGAGACTTATTTCCAATTAACCACCAGAAAACTGGAAGTGGCACTGTGGTTCAAATGGTAGAATGCTAGCCTTGAGCAAAAGAAGTTCATGGACAGTGCCCAGGTCCTTAGTTCTAGTCCCAGGATTGGCTCTCTCTCTCTCTCTCTCTCTCTATATATATATATATATATATACATATATATATAATAAAGATGATATACAGAGAGAGGGGTTACAGTTACATAAGTCAGGTAATGAGTACATTTCTTTTTGGGCAATATCATCCTTCCCCTCTCTGTTTCCCAGTTTTTCCCTCCTGTCCATACCCACTTTATCTATGTATCTATGTATCCATTCTATCTATCTATCTATCTTCTATCTATCTATCTCCCCCCAAAAACTTTATTATCTTTAGAGTAGTTGTATAAAGGAGGTGCCATTTAACAAAGCAGTTTATGAATACAATGCATCTTAGTGTCACCTCCTTCGACATTCTCACCCTCCTTCAATCTACCCCTTCTTCCTTTACTTTTCTTAATTTTGTGGTATACACAATAATTTTTTTTTTGTCAGTTGTGGGGCTTGCTTGAACTCTGGGCCTGGACAGTGTCCCTCAGCTCTTCAGCTCAAGGAGAGTATTCTACCACTTAAACCACAGTGCCACTTCCGGTTTTCAGAGTAGTTTATTGGAGATAAGAGTCTCACAGAGTTTCCTGCCCAAACTGGCTTTGAACTGCAATCTTCAGATCTCAGCCTTATGAGTAGCTAGGATTACAAGCATAAGCCACCAATGCCCAGCTACATGAATTTTTTATTGCATTTTCTCCCCCTTACCCTTCATTCATGTACCACTCTGTCCTCGGCACCACTTCCTCTCTTGTAAGTACTCATTTCCTGGTGCTTATTTGGTTGGGATTTGTCTTTCTAAAAAGTTACATTATTTGAACTTTCCATAGAAGTCTATCTTGACCAATTCTGCTCTTACTCTTGTGGTATAAATATTAAAGATATAATATTTGATTTAGGTACTTAGGCCATGTAAAAATTAAAAGTCTCTGCTCATCAATAATGGATGATTTTGTAACTTTGTTTTTGTGGTTATAAAATTCAACTGTAATTCTGCTTCTGCTACTAACTGAATGCGT